TTTCCCCTTTTTGTTATCTAACCCTGGATTCCTTTACTTCATACTTTTTATTATAGTAAAGCAGGGACTGAGAGTTGAGGGAATGACAGGAAATAATGGCATGGAAGCAAAGGCAGAAAATCTGAAAAAGACATGATGAAAGTAACAATGAGATTTCAGTATTAGCCTGTAAGCAGAGTCATCCCAATACATGCCACACATATTCTTTAGGGTATCTCCTAGAAATAGTTTTGGGGCTTTTGTTTGCTAACTTCACAAATATACCTAACATTCATCTTTTGCATCACACTACAGGCTATACCAATCCTTTTCCTAAACCCAACACTAGAAGACATTCATCTAGTCAGTATTTCATAGTTGTCAAAAATACAGGAGATGGAATGCTTTTGGTTCAAACCAGGCTCAGCCACTTATCAACTGAGTGGCCATGAGAAGGTTTACTTAACCTTACTGTCTGCTTATTCATTCATTCAATGAATATTTATTGAGCTCCACCTTCGTTCAAGGTTATCAGTGAAGTGAGGTGCTGGAGACACAGCAGGATACCAGAGATAGAATTTCTTGCATGCATGGAGTTTACATTTTATTGGGGGATGAGAGATAATAAACAGATAGACATGTAATACATCAAAAAGACTTTTACATCTAGAGAAAAAGGGATGAGATATGTGGTATGAGTTTATAATTTTAAGCAGGGTAATTTTACAAGGGTCCTCACTGGAAAGGTAACATTTGGGCAAAGACATGAAACAGTGAGGAGAAAAGTTTCCCAGGTAGAGGGAATGATGAGTTCAAAGGCTCCTGATAGAGTCAGGGGTGTGTTAGAGCAGCAGCATGGCTAGAGAGGAAGAAATGAGAGGGAGAAGGGTAGATGATGAGGATGGTGGTAAGAAAGATGCATCAAACATCAAGCAGGATCTTTTTGGCCATTGTAACAACTTTAACTTTGAGTCTGAGTGAGGTGGAAGGTTTTGAGCAGGGGAGTGTCATTCTCTTACATGGGCCTGGTGGAGAATACCAGCCCTAGTTTGGGAAAGCCTGCTGTGCAACCTTGCAGATGGTTAATGATGTCTTGCGCCAGCATGGCAGTAAAAGATGTGGTAAAAAATGGTCAGCTGCTGGATTTATTCTGAAGATAGCGCCACCAGAATGTGCTGATGAAATGGACAATGTGAGGTAGATAGGCAAGACAGGCATCAAAGTTTACTTGGAGGGTTTAGGCCTGACCAACTGGGTGAATAAAATTGCCACTGACTGAGAAGGTATACACTTAGAAGAAGGAGGGCTTTAGTATTTTCCAGGTGGGAGCTGGTGGTGGTGGTGGTGAAGTCATGACCTCAGTTGGGTCATGTTATATCTGATATGCCTATTGGAATCCCAAGTAGAGTTGTTGAAGAGTCAGTTGATTGAGTTTAGAGTTCAGGGAAATATCTGGGCCTGGAGACAAATCTCAGAGTTTTCAGAGTATAACTGGTATCTCAAGCTGTGGACCTGGAAGATGTACCTGGTGAGAAAGTGTGTATAGAGAAGAGGCTCAGGACTGAACCCTAAGATCTCCTTATGTTGGAAACTGGGAGGATGAAAAGATGCAACAGAGGTAGTCAAGATGGAGTGGCCAGTGGTAGCGGTAAGATTGGTACCTTAGAAGTCAAGTGAGGGAGGTATTTCAAGGTGGAGTGATGCACTGGTGCCTGGTCTTACTTTTATGATAGACCAGTGTTAAACACATTGTTTTCGTATACTAAAGATTTGCTTGACACACAGATTGAACTGTGCCACAGATAATGAATCATCATGGAAAATCACTTTTGCTCTCCCATCCTCAGTTTCCCTGTAAGTTAAATGAGCAAATTTGATTTGATAAGTCCTAAAATACCTTCTAGCCTTGATACACTATGAATTTTCTTTTTGTATGATTCTTTAATTCAGTCAGGACTGAATCCATTCAGGCATTATGCAATTTTATGACAAACAGAATTTAAAATATCTTTTGTTTAGTCTCTCCAAACCAAATGGCCTTTAATTTAATATCACTCTGTCTTGTTTTTGCTTTTGTTTTTCTTTATGGACACTGTCTTTCTCTGGTGATTTTGTAGACTTGGAAGAAACCTCCATCCTCAGGGACTTGGAGAAGGCTATACTGGAACCTGTGTGAAGGCTGAGACAACTGTCCCTTTTGTGGTGGCCTGAGGGGATTTTCTTAATCCCAATGTTGCCCTGTAATTTATGTCCATGATTCAAGAAGATTAGGACTGCTAAGGTATGGGTTTGTGACTTTATTATTTTCTAAGACAAATGTGATACATTTAAAGACACTTATCTATATTCACAGCCTTTCTCCTCCCCCTTTCCCTAACCTTCTTCTTCTCTTTACTTTGTCTCTTAAAGGAAAGATCTTTTCTATCTTGAAAAGATCCCACCACTTATGGGAAGTGTTACCACAGGTAAAGATACAATGGTAGAAACTGAAGGAAGCCTGAATTGACTCTATAATAAACAGGGTGGTCAGAGGGCAAAGACAAAGCATGCAGACAGGTTTGTGCAGGTGTCTCAGCTAGAAAGAAAAGAGAAATGAGGGTAGATACTTATGTGATAAAAGACTTCAGGTAAAGAGATGAGTAAAGAAGTGGTGCTGTGTAATACACTATTTATTCGTATTTACAGTGTCCACAGGAGACTTTGACAAAATTTTGTTATTCCTTAAGGTCTTTAGGGGAGCTGTCTTTGTATTTATTTTGGATATATACCCATGCTGGAGCAGACTCTAAGTTGAAGTCAAAAGGTCTCAATTATTTTTTTCTAGTTCAAATGATAATTATCACAGTAATGGTAATTAGACACTCATCAACGAAGTATGCATTTGCATGCATGTAAATACATCCTTATACACATACAAAAACCTGTATGATAAATATATGTAATTTATTGAATGGTATCTCTGTGTGTGTGTGTGTGTGTGTGTGTGCATGCACATGTGTATATGCATATATGTGTATATATATATAGAGAGAGAGTGTCGGGGAGGGAGGGACAGATGGAGTGAGGGGAGAGATAGAATGCTTAGAACCACCATTTGTGGAGTGTGTATTGTGAGTCAGGCATTGTGCTATGAGCTTTGAAAAAAAATATTATAAGCACAACTCATAACAACCATCTGGAATAGAGATTTCTGTTCTAGGAAACCAAAGGGGAGATAAGTAAAAAGGTTTTCTTAGGCTGTGTAGCAAGAAAGGGTCAGGGGCCAGACTCATTCCTAGACTTGGTAGAATTTAAGTCTCTGTGCTCATCTACTGTAGAGAGTAGTAGGATTGCATTCACTACTAGTTAAAAGCACTGGGGAAAAGATGATTTTACAGCTTAGAACCACATGGCATATTCAAGAGAAGTTGTAGGATGTCTGAAAATTCCATTGGTAACTCATTTGATGCCCTTTTAATCTCTTTCAAAAAAGAAAGAAAAATAATCCTTCATAACCCAGAGGCTTCTGGGAACCGGGAGACCAATGTAGGTGAGGTGTAGCATTGGCTCCCTTCTCTTGGCACCATAGGTCATATGTCATGCGCGTGCAAGGTAGAAGTGTGGAGCTGTTGAATATCACTTTAGTTACGGCCACAGGCCTGCTGTCATTTTATTTCTGAATTTCTCACTGCTAGAGTAAGTGTGGTGTGTGCTCTTAGCTAGTCATGAATGGGCCTTCCTTTGAGGATAAAGCACTTTCTATCTAGTATTCCCAAAGGCCAGTGAATAAATGATTGAGCTGTGATGTTCACATTGCTTGCAGAACTGCTAGAAAGCATGTCAAACAAACACTCCTCCTTCTCTAGGCAGAATAACTGTTTCTTTTTTTTATAAACAAGATAAATTATTTTTCTCTTTTTGGCATCTTTAAGGAAGTTTAAGTATAAATACTTAGTAAGAATTCATTTTTTATTAACATGGTTTTAAGGGCCAAATAGGTAATTAACCATTCATAAAAGAAAAATACAACACAGTGTACCTTTATTGAGTCCTTGTACAAGTATAAACATCCTACATAATTGATGTATAGTTGTGGTACAGTTATTTCTTCCCACTTACTCATTTTTTTTATTATTACTTTTTTTTCGGAGTTGGAAATCTTACTCTGTTGTCCAGGCTGGAGTGCAATGGCACAATCTCAGCTCACTACAACCTCCACCTCCCAGGTACAAAAGTGATTCTCCTGCCTCAGCCTCCAAAGTAGCTGGGATTGCAGGCGCCCACCACCACGCCTAGCTAATATGTTTGTATTTTTAGTAGAAATGGGGCTTCGCCATGTTGTCCAGGCTGGTCTCCAACTCCTGACCTCAAGTGATCCTACCTCCTCGGCCACCCAAAGTACTGGGATTACAGGTGTGAGCCACCATGCCCAGCCTTTCCACATATTCTTGATCTATTGGAAAGGAAAACTAAAATGTTCTCTGCTTGTCCTCAAAAATCTAGAGAAGCTTAGGGGTTTGGGTTGGGATTTTGATTACTGAGGTTTTTTGGCTTTGAGAGTATCGAACTTTAATTCAGAGTGTCTCTTCTGTCAAGAATGTTCACTTAGATGCTACTTACAACATACATTTAGAACAGCTACTTACAACATACATTTAGAAAAGTTTTAAAGGACTTGGCTATAAAAATGTTCCTGGTTTAGAGACCAATCAACCATTAAGGGGAAAATAAAGCTCTCTCTGATTGTTGACAGAGAATGTAAGGAGAAGAATGCCTGTTTTGCTGTGCATGTTCATCACAGGGCTCTATTCAGCTGTAGTATATATAAGAATGTGCCTGTCTCTGTTCATAGACCAAAACCCAGTTTCCAGGAAGGAAGAAGGAAATGAGGCAGTGTTGGTACTATCAATCTGTCTGATGCTTTCTGGCTGTTATGCTGTGGTGCATGGAATAGATTTTTCAGATGTCTTTTCAAGTGAAGACACTATAAATTAGTGGCTATGGTACTAGCCTTTAGAAAAGGCAAATCAAAGTTCCAGTAAAGCTCCTGTGTGAACGTTAGAAAGGCCATCTAATTTTTCTAAGCCTATGCTGTTTAAAGTGTGTTTCATAAGCCAGCAGCATCAGCATCATCTGAGCTTGTTAGGCATGCAAATTCTTTGACCCTTTCCCAGACTTACTATTTGACTTTACTAAGTCAAAATTTCTTGGAGTAAGGTCCAGAAATCTGTTTTTATTTAATAAGCCATCTAGATAATTCGTATGCTTTGCTAAAATTTAAAAACCGCTGCTCACCTGATCTCTGAAAAATAAGGGAGCTTACAAAAATTTGATGTCTAAAAACTAGGACAATCTAAGAATATTAATGACCTATATGCCTTAGTGTGTGTGTATGTGTGTATTTGTATGTATACATACTGAACACATACATAAATACATGTGCATATGACATCAAAAGGGAAAAAACTTTTTCAAAAAATCATAAGCCAAGTTTCTGAGGTTTTAATGACTGCATTTGAAATCTACAAAATGGAAAAAAATAGATATAAAATTAATTTAAAAACTAAACTTAAAATAGCTATCATTATAAATAAGTGAGTCCGTAAAATAGAGTAAGCCAGATATCAAGGCTCATGCCTGTAATCCTAGTGCTTTGAGAGGACAAGAGAAGAAGATTGCATGAGGTCAGGAGTTCAAGACCAGCCTGGACAACATAGCAAGACCCTGTTTCTACAATAAAATAAAAGAAAAGAAAAAAGAAAAAAAAAAGCAAAGAAAGAAATTAGCCAGGCATCATAGCACGTACCTATAGTCCTAGATTGCTTGCGTCCAGGAATTTGAGGTTATAGTGAGATATGACTGTGCCACTGCGCTGCAGACTGGGTGACATAGTGAGACTCTGTCCCTATAAAAATAAAAATAAATAATAAAACAGAATAGAGAGTTCTGAAATAGGTAGACATATATATATTCAACTGGCTCTTAACAAGAGCACAACATTAATTCAAAAGAGATAGGAAAAATTGCTTCAACAAATAGTACAAAACAGCTGGATATTTCTGTAAAAATAAAGAAGCTTAACCTCTACCTTATACCATACACAAAAATCAGTTTGAGTCAGAGCACAGATTGAAACATAAATTTAAAAAAAAAAAAAAAAGGGCGAAAAAACCCCACTAGAGATCTCCTGGAACAAAAGCTAGAATATCTTTATAACTTCAGGAGGAAAAGATTTCTTGGAAAAGACACAAAAGCACAAACCGTAAGAATAAATAAATACTTTAAACTTCATGAAAATTAAAAGCATCTACTCATCAAAAAATACCACCAAGAAAATAAAGAGATGGACCACAGACTAGGAGAAAATATTTGTAATACATACATTTAACATATATATGAGCATGCACTTCATAAAACTAGATAAAATAACCAATAAAGACAAGCAGTGGTGCTTAATTTGCATTTGTTTTCAAATGCAAATTAAAACCACAATGAGATAGTTCTACACACTTATCAGAATGGCTAAAAATAAAAAGAATGAGAGCATCAAAAGTTAAAAGGATGTGAAGTAACCACAGTTCTCATACATTACTGGTAGAATTATATAATGTTCCTATCACTTTGAAAACCAATTTGGCAGTTTCTTATAAAGTTGTCCAATTATCTACTTTAAGACCTAGAAATTCCATTCCTAGGTATTTATCGAAGAGGATTGAAAACATTTGTGCACAAGTGTTCTTAATAACTTTAATTATAATAATTCAATCCTGAAAACAACTCAGATGTCTAACCAAAAAAAAATGGATAAACTCTTACATATTCATAAAGTAGATGATATGGTTTGGCTCTGTGTCCCCATCCAAATCTCATCTCCAATTGTAATTCCCATGTGTCAAGGTAGGGACCTGGCTGGAAGGTGATTGGATCATGGAGGTAGTTTCCCCCATGCTGTTCTCCTAGTGAGTGAGTTCTCATGAGCTCTGATGGTTTAAAAGTGTTTGGCAGTTCCCCGCTCGCTCTTTCTCTCTCCTGCCACCATGTAAGACATGTCTTGTTTCTCCTTTGCCTTCTGCCATGATTGTAAGTTTCCAGAACTGTGAGTCAATTAAACCTCTTTTCTTTATAAATTATCCAGTCTCAGGTAGTTCTTTATAGCCAGTGTGAAAATGGACTAATATAGTAGAATACTATTCAACAATAAAAAGACTGTCACACATACTAACATGGACAAATCTCAAAAGTAGTACGGTGTAGGTCTAACACCAGAAAAAAACTTGTATAATTTCATGTATATGAAAGTAG